CAACGCCATTCAGCAAGTGTTGAAAAAATTGAGCTCTACCGAGGACAGCCAAGTCTTGGAGGAGGGAGTAGTTAACAAATGTTAACCAAATTGGCCATTGGGCGGAGTGAAATCTGCAATATCGCTGAGTAGGCGACCGCAGGAGCGCGGCCGCCGAGACCGCCGGCCTGAATCGGACACCAGACACGAGGCGCAATGTCAGCGTTTCTGCTGAGCTGCGACGGGCCTTACGGACGATGAGCTCAAGATCGGGAGTTTGAGTATCATAAGTTTAGTTTCATATTGATCCGCCGAGTGGCCACAACATATTTTAGTGTGGTCTATATTAACTCATAATAAGTGTTTACCATATTAATCAAAATAACATTAAAACACATTATTACTTGTACATGTTTGTGAATACAATGCTTTCCACACAAAACAATAATCGGGATGTTTCGCCAGCCTTTCTACCTATTGGCGTATCCTCAGCAAATTTTTTGTCAGTAAATTCTGCCAATATCTGAAGACAATATTTTAAGCTTATTCTAGATTTAATAAATTTTAAATAGCAAAAAATCTTACCACAAAACCGCCCTCACCCCCATTTAATTTTCTAGTAGAATGAAGGAGAAAAATGTACCAAAATTTATTGAGTTTTTTTCTTCTTTCAGCTTAAAAATGTTTGTTTATGTGTGAGCATCTGAATTGGCTGTCACAGTCATTGTAGTCGAAACACAAAGCAAAGCAGTAGACACATCGCAGCTTTGACTTCGGATTCTGTCGAAAAAAAAAACAGTCGACTTGGAGTGGCAGTGTCCTGAAGATTTGGGCAGTCGCTAGTGTGATACAGAAATAATCTTAACACTCTGATTCAAATGGTCAAACATGTCCGTCCCCTTCAGCGCCTAATGCTCAAAGACTATAAGAGCTAGAGCAACGATGTTTTGGATCCAGACTACTGTGATATGTCACTGCTACAAAAATATTCCAAAAGTTTGCCCCGCCCACTTCCGCCCCCACAAAGGGCGAAAATCTGTGCCATCCACAATTTTAAAGATACGAGAAAACCAAAAACGCAGAATCGTAGAAGATGACTATATCTTACAGAGTGCAAAATCTGAACCAGATCGTATAATTATTATAGCCAGAATCACGAAAGCAATTTCACTCTATCTCGCTCTGTCTCACTCTAACACACAGGTTTCATGGTCGGTTTTGCCAATTGCAAAATATCAGTTCAAGGATCTCAGAACCCATAAGAGCTAGAGCAACCAAATTTGGTATCCACACTCCTGTGATATCGGACCTTGACCGTTTTGTGTCGAAATTTCGCCGCACCCCCTTCCGCCCCCGCAAAGGACGAAAATCTGGGGCAACCACAAATCTCAGAGACTATTAAGGCTAGAGTAAATTTGGTTAGATCTCACTATAGATCTGTTAGATCTCACTATAAAACGTATATCTCAGAATTTCGCCCCACCCCTTCCGCCCCCACAAAGGACGAGAATCTGTTGCATCCACTGCAATCCTATATAGCACTATATACCACTGCATCCATTGCAGATTCGAGAAAACTAAAAACGCAGAATCATAGAGAATGACCATATCTATCAGATTGCTGAGTCTGGATCAGATCAGATCATTTTTATAGCCAACAGGAACAAATCAATTTGCAGTGGCTACGCAGCGCCCGACGTCACGCACAGACTGATTTTCTGTCTCTCTCGCACGCACTCTGTGTCGTTTCGTTTAATATTAGCGCCGTCGGCCGGAGGAGAGCCATACTGACTTAGTATCGGGTATAACTGTAGAGTTGCGGTGTACGCAGCTACTCACAACGTTCCCCCTCGTTTTTTTAAAATTACGTGTATTTTAACCACATTTCCGTTGAGTTTGTATTCGTATTACTTTTATTTTACGAATTATTATTGCATTTTTCAATTATTATTTATTTTGTATAATAATAAACATTGTGATGTCTTTCGAGCGTTTACTGTACTTGGGGACATAGTATATTATATTTATTGGTAATGGTAAATAATACAACTTTTTTGCCCAATTTATCGCCTTCCAGAAATAATAGAAATAAAACTATTATTCAAATATTTTTAATAGTCCCGCTTATTCCCCTGCGCTGGGTTAACCGTAATTTCGCTTAACAATGTTTTGCAGCCCATTTTCGATCACTTATGAACCAATACACTTGAACAAAATCAGCAATCAGCTTGATGAAAAAAACAAGCATGCTTGATTGATCAAACTAAGCTGAGCTGATTTCAGCGAGCTTTTTCAGCTTTCAGCTCAGCTCAGTCTGCAATGTGCGCACTTGCACCGGTGCAGTGTGTTTGTATTTTCAGAGCTTATAAATGAGCTATCATCTTCTCCGATTTCACCTACATTGTGCGTGAGCCCTTAGTATACTGCGCTGCACTGATTCCTTTTGCAGATACATTTTTCATTTCATTCTATGGATAGTAATCCGACCATTAGCATGTTTTTGGAGTATATTTGCTCAATTTTAGATTTGAACAGATTATTTTGCCAGTCACATTTATGTCTTCGATGGATTTTAATCAAGGTCTCTAATTGGGCGTGCTACAAATTAAAAATTTGTTGCTAAAAATGATCTAAAAATTAAAAGCCGAGTGATAAAATGTAATAGTTTGCTGTCTAATCTGATACAAAGCTATTTTTCTTAGATCGCGAATAAAAAAAAATTTGGCAGACACTCACATTTCACAAATTTCTTTTTGAAAAACTTACAGTGGCGCCGAACAAAAATAGCACCAGTAGGGACGACCGTCTTTACTCCTTCAAAACAAGACCACTGTCCAACATTTGCTGGACTTTACTGCAATATAATGTAGCTTTATATATCTCCTCTCTGAGAGAAGTGTGCTTACTCTCTCAATTCTAACGGTTCTTATAACATTAGACAATTTTGCGAAAGAGGAGCGAAATAGAGCACCAACAAAAATAGCACCAGTATCTGTTTTATGTAAAAGCTTCTACTTTTCTGAGCTTCTTGATATTTTAAGTTCTTGATTGAATTAAAAATCGGTGGCTTTAGGTGATTGTGACAAGAAAGTTACAAAATTTAAGTAGTTATGGGTCTTGGAAAGCAGTAAAGTGAAGAAAAAAGCCAAAGGATCAAAACTTTCATTTCAGAAGGCAGGACCTATGCCAAGGTGGGGCAAATTGTCGGTTGTTCAAAAGAAATGATTAGCAATGCTTTTAAATATGTTTCCAACAAGAAACACGCGGAAGAAAGGCCGCGAGATTCCCATTTCTGGTAAAACTACTGGTTCGTGAAAGCAAGGAGGACCCATTTAAGTCGGCCACAGAGCTAAAGCAAGGATCTTAAAAAATCTTCGAGTACCAGGAAAGTTAGATCTTATATACAAGAACGTAAAATGGGTACTCGTAGTCCGAGGAAAATTCCACTTCTCATGGGAAGGCATAGGGTAAAAAAAGTTTGGTATGCAAAATAGCACTAAAGTTGAGCCAAGGAAAATGGATAAACATCCTGTGGTCCGACTAAAGCCAAAATTTATTTTTTGGTGTAAAAAGGTCTTGTTCTTGTGTGAAACGACTACCGAATGCAGAATATAACCCCCTGACTCACATGTAAATTCATTAGACATAGAAAAGCAAGCAAAATCGTATGGGCATGATTTTCGTACTAGGCAGGTGAACCAATACATGGCACAACCCCATTATGGATCAACATGTCTATGTCAATACCAAAGAAACAGTGATTCTGCTTTATGCAGAATACGAAATAGACTTGTTTTGTGTCTTCCAGCAGGAAAATGACCCAAAACGATCTAGAAAGAGAGCTCGAAAGTGGTTCGAGCACAATTCACTTAGTGTAATAGATTGGCCTGTTCAGTCTCCAGACTTGAACCCCATTGCTAATATTTTGGGTCAAGTTAAAAAATATGTTTCTAATGCGGAATCAAAGAACATTAAATATGTTTGGGGTATTCTGCATGGTTCGTGGATCAATATCCCAAGGAAAAGATGCGAAAATGAGGTGAGCTTTAATGCCAATATGCTGAGCTGCTGTTGTTGCTGTCAAAGGTTTTACAACAAAACGCCAACCTTTAAATACAACTAAAGTAACATATTTTACAAAAAAATTTGGAAAGTTTCCTTGTATTTTATAGTTTTTCGATTTCTTTGTAAATTGGTGCTATTTTTGTTGGTGCCCAAATTTCTGATAAAATCCTTTTCTTTTCAAATATTTTCATTTGGAGTTTGCGAATTATGCCAGTGCTCTGGGATACGATAAATTATACCTTAAAGTTTACATATTAGTCTTAACAACGTTCATTAAAACCATTGCTTGAGCAAAATCCGTCAATATAGACACATTAGTCCACTGGTGCTATTTTTTTCGGCGCAGCTGTATATTTTAATATACTCTAAATTCTTTTTCACACAGAAAGCCATATTACGTGTATCTTACCAACATAAAAGCTATGCGAGTTGCAGTAGAAAAAACATTGTTATTAATCATTGTCGAAATGTAAATGTGATAATTTCACAACTCAAATTCTTACTCGAAGTTTGCTATGTATTAACCGGCTTTGCAGCTTACTTTCATCGCTCTAGTAACACGCACTTTAACTAAAAGATATGTAGTATAATAAAATCAAACAAATACTGGTTTTCCAGAAATTTATGCATATGAACGTATCCCCCATACAAATTTTGTGCGGAAGTATTATAATCATTCTACATGCTCATGCAATATAACACACAAAAAGAAAAATTTTAAAACCAGTAATTTTGTAATGTACACTATTTTTGAGGAGCAACTGATGCTTTCGTTATGTATTCTGGCTTACAATTTGTTTGATTCTTTGTAAATTTTTTATATAGAAATACAAGGCATGTACATATGTAAAGAATGTATATCAAAATAAATATGTATGTATGTGTATTGTTACTTACAGTTAGCCCAACACCATATCATAACCAACATGTGTAAATAGTTGTAATTTCATACTTACATGCTTGTTTCGTACGTGTGTTGAATATGTGCTCAATTGGTGTTTGACAAATTAACTGTTCTACTGCTATATATTATAGTTCTAACTAAACTTTGTTTCCTTTCTGCCCTTATTAGTCCCTTATTTCCTCAATCACTTCTTCCTTTTAATTTTTAATAGCTCAGATGAGAATAATTAATGCATTTTGTATGACATATTTTGACAATTTTGACAGAAAATTTAATATTTTATATAAAGCATAAAAGATGTGCAAAAAAGTCTACCAAAAAATTAGGCTGTGTATACGGTTGAAAACAATCGATTATGGTTGTGTTGTACATATTGATATATCGATATAAATATATATATATATTTTTAATTGATATCATTATCGATATTTCTGTTTGATATTTCAACTATAAACCCTAGTATATCTAGATAAAAAAAAAATGTTTACATTAACATATGTTAGTTCCCAGGCATAGACTTGGTCCCCCTTAACCTTATCGGCAATGGAAATGGATTTATCGAATATTGACTTTTTTCTTCTTTTTCGCATATTGTACTCCTCATCGGCCACATAAAGAGGCGAAAATCCGACGTGGTATAAACTGATTTTTGTCTTACGTTACTTTTGTCTATTTCCATGTCAGCCTTGTCATGCTCCTCATGAGGGGCTCTTTGTGGTGCTCGTCGCTGGTCGCATGGGCAGCGTCGCCATATAATGCTGCTGATACTCTGACATATTATATTGTCAATAAAAGAATAGGGGCCTCGCTATGCCTGCTAATGAGGACCCCAGCCGCAGTAGACTCTTTGATTAACTTTGTTTACCCTAAATTTTTAAACAAAGCCCAACCGTAGTGCATCTTCATCTCGTCACACTCTGCTGTTAGCTTAATATTATTCTTTTTGCCAGAAAACCATTTTTCTAATCTGAGTACTATGCTTAATCATACAGTATACACCATGTAGTTGTGCCAGCTCATACCAAAAAACTGTTGCTGCTATCGGGCTGTTGGCTCTGCTTATTTGTTGCAACCTCCCAATTTTGATTAATCGCGGTGTTGTGCATATATAATATATTATGTAAAATACAACAACACAATATTATGGCGCTATTATTTTTTTATTTAATGTACTTGTTATTAGCAGCAGCTGTTTTTGACGTATGCCAGAGTTTCAAATCTATCAAAAAATCCCACCATTCCCCCGGGTTGGGTTCAGTGTGCAGCCTATAAGTCAGAATTGCTGTTTACACTTGACAAACTCGAGTTATCGAGTTTGACTGCTGACATGGGCGAGTGTTTAAAAATAAACCAAATTATGCTTATATACATACATATGTTTAAGAAGAAGGTGCCATAAGTCTGCAAAAATGTATGGATTGGGCGGTTATGGAGAATTGCTCAATTTCTGAAAAGCAGAGAAATGGCGAAGCAGAGTTCAGTAATAAGTAAGAACAATTTGTGCATGAACATTGCGTGTGGAATTCAAATGTAAGGGAAAAAGCTATACGGCACGCTTTGCGGCTAAATTTTGAAATTCTGTGTGATAAACAAGTTTTAAAAAGTTCAATTTAATGGTGAAAGTCGGCAGATTCATTTGCAATGTTTTGCATCACTGCCAGTTTTCTTCCACTGTTTCAATGATTTTTTCGACGGGGTGTATTGTATTTTTTCTTCATATTTCCAATTTATTTTTTTACCTCGAAATGCCACGGTCAGTATTTTTATAATTATTCGGCCATATCCTTAATTTCTGCGATTTTTCCTCACGTCCATTTCGTAAGTCTAGAAATGGCCACCGGTGTCTCACAAATCTCTTATCCAATGACAAGATTGGTTTGATGTATCCTTTTAAAGGATTTAATGATTGTTAACTTTACCTCCATTTTTCACATCTTATTTTGTTGTTTTTTGGTGATAGTTCACACGATAGGCACATAGGGTTGAAAAAGGATTACGAAAATCGAATCAACTTTTTACCCTATGAATATCCTATGTAAAACAAATCTGAGTGTTGCCACTAACCATATGGTACATAGATGTGCCTGTTCATACAACCAACATTTTACACAGCCAACACAGAAAATTAAATCCCAGGGTCTTCGGTTCTGGTATTCGGCAACGCTTTGCATGTGTTAGTATAACACGCACAATCTTTTTCATTAAAAAATGTAATTGTATGCTTATTTCGTTTTTTAGAGTTCTGGGTTTCTGTTTTCTGTTTTGCTTTCAGCTTACTTTATTGTATGTGTGCACACGCATTTTCACGTACTTTGTACCGCAAGGCAGCGTGCTTGGGCCGACACTGTACTGCTTATTCACCCACGACATGCCATATCTCTCTACGGTTCGAAGGCAAACTGGGCAGACCTTCAAGGTAGCAACATTTGCTGATGACACAGCAGTACTCTCGAGAGCTAGTCTATGATGCCACAGACAATCTAAGCAATACCTCAAGCTGTTTGAAAACTGGGCCTGCCGATGGAACATCTCCATAAACCCTGATAAATGTGTAGTGGTGACGCACTGTATAAGAATGGGCTCTGGACCTGGTGTCTTCCTGCTTGGCAATCTTATGGAGCAGCGTAGGAGTCCCACATACCTCGGAGTTACACTGGATGCACGTTTAATTTTCGACAGTCACATCCGTATCGTGAGGAGCAAGTTGGTGGGTAAGGTGTAATATGAGCTTTAGTTTTTACCGAGTTTGTTCGGTTCTCGTTTATAACTCATTCTGGGTTCTAAGGGGCTAATTTAATAATAAAAGGCTGGGCGCTGCTTCGGCAGAGAAGCCAGCATCAGCGCTGTACATAAATGTATATAACAAACATATAAGTGGATAAACATGTATGGCAACGGGAACGTTGCCATTTGACGGAGGTTGGTTTGCACAAGTGTTTTATTTCATGGTCAGTATCCTACGGATATGCTGACACTGCTTTGATTGTGCCCGCTAAACTCAAGGGCGATCATATTGCATCGCACTTGGAATGTGTGGGTACTTGTGTTTGTTGAGTCTACAAGAATGTGTAGTTGTTTTGAATAAGTCTGTAAATTATGAGTTTGTATATTTGATATATACTGATTACTAGACCTCGGATTTTGCATATTTGCATATTTTCATCTGATTTTTACCAAAATTTTTATTGAGACGTTTGATCATTCAAATATAACGAATTTGAATGCATATCTTGAATATGCAAAACATATGCAAAATATATGCAATCAAAATATGCCAAAAATAAGCAAAATATATGCAGCATATGCAAAAAATATGCAAAATATATGCACACGAATTTCATCAAAAAATTGAAGCAATACTACTTTCCCTAGTCCAACGCTTTACCATATATTGTTGTGTTGTTCTTATCGCAAGCCCGGCTTAAAACAAGAGCCAAGCTTTTTTTCTTATCGCAAGCCGGACTTGAAACCAGAGCAAAGCTTTATGATAACACCAAAGATGTGCAGCTTCTTTATATGGAGTCTCTCTGTAACATATTGTTACTGTAATTTCTTATCAGTTTGATCTCTGGCGTTATTTTAAGCTATTGATTTGCGCGTTTGCTTTACTTTTCTACAGTCTTTGAAGTGAAGTGTAGTAAAATGCCGAAAATCAACAGGTATAAAAGAAATTTGTTAGGAAAATGGTTTAACAGCCTTTCCGAAAAGTGTTTTAAAGTTGTTGTTGTCGTAACAGCCTTCTGCTGGTTTCACACGGGCCTATCCTATCCTTATGTACTTTTTGTTGTTTATTTCTATTGCCTTTAATAAAAATATTGTTATCTTCTACTGATACTACTGTATAAGGTCATAAGTATTTTGGGTCCAATTTTACTGTAAAATCCATCACTTTTTTATTTTGTTATCATTATCATTGTTATCATTGCTATCATCCATCATTATTTTGTTATGACCGGCCTCTTTACCACCCAGGGGTGTAGGGGTGTTTCCGACCCGATAGACGGATTAACAAAAAAAAAAAAAACATACAAAAATTGTCCTCATTGGCACTCTCTTAAGCGGGGATATTTGATATTATTTTCCATGAGCGTGGTCCCACCCTTCCATGAGCGCCATTTTTTGAATTCGCTCGCTCCCTTTTCATTTTCAGGGTCCCGCTCTTTTTCCCGCTCTCGTCCCACCCAACTACCGTTTTCTACTCACTCATGAATACGTTTTACTTTCATATTATATTCATGTTATATTTTCTTAATTATCTATTTTCTTAACAATATTAATTAATAACCTAGATTCTGCCGACGAATACAAATACTAATACAAAAAAATACTAACAGAAATACTACAGTCGGTGCTCAGCTGGATTCCTTGGTCCCGGTGATTCTCGCACCAGGTTTCCGACCTGGCCAGTACCGGGCTGCTGCTGCCGATGTCCGCCGCTTTCGCTGATGTTGATGCCTGTCGTTGATGTCTTCGTGGGATCTTCGTCTCCACGATCACCAATTTTTTATTTTTTTTTTCCTTCAGGGCACTTGCGGCCGGAAACTCCCCTTTTTTTCTCGTCCCGTTTCCTTTTCTCCCACGCAACTCTGCCACTGCTTGCCAGGATCCACAATAGATGTCGCTGTCTTTTTCTTCTCCAGCCCTGATACCTATCGGATCTCTCCAAAACCGCCCATAACAACGCACTACCGTTTCCAGGATTACTCGAAACGGGAGTGCAAAGCAAGGCGGGCTTTTTCAATTAAGGGGCCCCAAACGTAGGCCATCGCCCACACCCTGAGATTGAGAGTCTCTGGCTCCATCGACTGAGATGCCCGGGCTACTGCTTCAGATCCTTTGTGTGAAACACTCCAATACGTGAGCCTTGCAACGTCTCCAGCTCGTACAGACTGCTGCCCATACTCCGGATCACTCGTCACTTTACGTATTTTGGGCTGAACTTAGCGTTGATGTTGTTTTTAAAATTGCTCAACACGAAATTCCGCTTATATATCTCCTGACCCGGTGAATACCTAATTTCTTGAGCTTTTCGATTATACCTGTTCTTCGCTGTATTGTAGGAGTTTCCTCGGACCTCATCTCGGACTATTTCCATCTTATCACTCCTCGCAAAGGGTGCATAGTTCACCCGGTGCATAATTCCCCCGGTTGAGATGTATGAGCGTATGAACTAATTGAATGTTCTGTGGCTTCGCTTCACGGTTCCTACAGTCTGGTGATGATGT